GGAAAACTGTAAAACAGCAAATATTTTTATTGACTCCTGGGAATTCAGCATGCTCCTCAAAACACTATTTTTATTACAGAAAATTTCTTGTTATTTTCTAAATCAAAGCATGGGTTTTCCTCTTATATCAATAACTCACTTCACTTTTTAATTTTCTTGCTTTAGTTACATTGTTAGATGGTTCAATATTTACCTTAACTTCTTTTTATATGAAATCAAAACAACTATTTTGATTCACTCACACAAATGATAATTTGTGAATAAGAGAAAGCAAATTAGAAACCACAAACCAAAACCCACAAGATTGTTGTTCTGGTAGTTCACGCTATCATCCCCTAAACAGGGATTCTTAAAAGTTCCACTTTCCGAACAATACTGACATAAACTGTCCCAAACAATGACACATAAAGAAGGTTCTGCACCCAGCTCCAAACTGGGGATTTCCTCTCCCACCACAATTCTCGGACATCAATCGGGCATCCTACAGTGCAGCTCAATTCTGACACTATCTGCCTGAAGATAGTGTGGGACCTCACAGGTCAAGGGAGGGGTAGTCCTGCAAGATTACCCCTCCCCCACACTTCAGATGCCAGTTTCAACTTCAGGTTGTCACCTGTGTTTCTAACTGACCCGTGATAAAAGGACAGTTCCAGCAACCTCTTCCTTGTGTTTAATTAATATGCTAGAGTGGCTCACAGAACTCGGGGAAACATTCCACTTAGTAGATTGCTGATCTATTCTAAAAGGATATAACTGAGGAACAGCCAAATGGAAGAGACCCATAGGGTAAGACTGGGGACAGCACTTGGGGTGACACTCTTCCAGCACTTTCATGTGTTCATCAGCCTAGAAGCTCTCGGAAACTCCTCTTGGTTTAATGAGCTTTTAATCAGGATCTTCCTCTTATTAGTCTGTTCAGGTTGCTGTAACAAAATACTTACACACTTTAGGGCTTAAACAACAGCAATTTCTTTTCTCACAGTTCTAGGGGCTGAAGTCCAAGATCAAAATGTTATCAGGTTAGGTCCACTGAGGCCTCTCTTTTTGGCTTGCAAATAGCCATCCTCTTGCTGACTCTTCACATGGTTGTCCATCTCTGTATGGGACATCCCTGGTGTCTCACTGAACATGCTTATCTCTTCTAATGGGGGCACCTATCATATTGGATGGGGGCCCACCCTAACACACTTATTTCAACCCCCCCCCTCCACCGCCAGCTAACTTAGTTATCTTTTTAAAGACCTTATCTCCAAATACAGTCACATTCTCAGGTACTGGGGGTTAGGGCTTCAACTTGTGAATTTTGGACTTAGGTGAATTTAACAGATTGCTGGATACAAGTTCAGAATATAATTTTCAATTGTATTTCTGTATGTTAGCAATTAACAACAAGAAAATGAAATTAAGAAAAAGAAATTTACAATAACACACAATATGTAAACTATATAGTAATATATCTAAGAGAGGTGTGTGATATATATACTGAAAACTTCAAAGTATTGCTGAAAGAAATGGAAGAATATGCCACATTCATGGCTTGAAAACTCGTTATTATTGTCAACTCATCCCAAATTGACCCATAGATGCAAAGAAACCCACATAAAATCTGAGCAGAGTTTGTTTGTTAGTTCTTGATGAATACTGACAAGCTGATTCTCAAATTTATATGAAAATCTATAGAACCTAGAATAGCTGAGCCAGCCTTTAAAAAGAAGTACATAACAAAGACTCACACCACCAGAAGCCAATTTATTCTAAGGTTATAGTACTAAGCTATGAGTGGCACTAGCGCAAGAAAAGTCAAGCAGTTAGTGGAGCAGAATAGAGAATCCAGAAACAGGCCCAGACTCACAGTTTAGTAACTGCCTGACTTCTGGCAGAATCTCTACTGACACTCAGAAGGAAAAGGACAACCTTCTGAAAGAATGATGCTTGATCAAGTGGATATCAATATGAGGAAATAAAGTATCCCTTTTTCTTACTATGTCCCAAATTCAACTGAGTAGTACTATATACCTAAATATGACAGGTTTAAAAAAGCTCTAGGACAATAACAAAGAATAATATCTTCATGACCTTCAAATAAGAAATGATATCTTAAACAGATAATTGGACTACATTAAAATTAAGAACTTTTGTTCAACAAAAGAAACCATTTGGAGGCCAAAAAGACAATCTGAGAGTAGTATACAATATTTACAACACATATAACTAATTAGTGGCTTATTTATCAAATATATTGAGAACTACTTACTACAAATTAATAAGAAAAATACACATATACGTAAGAGGCAAACGGGCTTGAGCGGGCACCTCAGAAAAAGAGTACATCCAAATGGTCAAGAAACATGTGTTCATCTTATTATTAAGCCAGTAAAGTAAAATTAAAACAAGGTGGTGGCATTGTATATATGCCCAAATGGTCAACATTAAAAGACAAATGGTGTCAAATGTTGGTGAGGAAGTGGAGTAATTCTATCTTCCGTATGCTGTTGGTGGGCATGTAAATTCCAAGTCACTTTGGGAAACTTCCAGTATCTTCTAAAGTGGAGCCTGGGCATTCCCTGACTAGGTGACCGTGTCCTGGTTTTCCCTGAACAGTTTTGGCTTGTGCATATTTTCTCAGAATGCTTTTCAGTTTAGCATTTGTTCTAGACCTTTCCATTTTGAAACAAAAATTTTATTTTAAAGTTGCATTAAAAAAAGGCAGGAAAGTTTTCGTGCACTTTGTTCCTCTTCCAGCTTCTGCCAGAATCTTGTCTAACCGCTTGGGATGTATAAACTTTAACACATTGCTAAATCTTAAAGGCAACCAGAGATAACACACCTTTCTTTCCCCAAATCTCTCCTGATGCCATAAAACTAAAGTTCCCTTTTGATGGATATAATTTAGAGTGCTTTAAAAATAAATATTGTGGGCCTCAAAAGTCTAGGGAGAACTATCTTCTTTCAGCTTTGAATTGTAGTGAAAGAAGTTCTTGACACTAATGCCCCTGCTGGCCATTTGGTATAATAGCAGCGAATCATGCCACGGCCCGGGGTCACTGGCCTGTGAGAAGGATGAGCCCATAAAGTGCCAGGTGGGGTGATCAGTGGGAAAGTTAAGCAACTACAGTATCTGAAATAGTGTAAAAAATGGTAGATAAATTGTCCTGTTAAAGAGTGAGTCGAGACTAGTGTAAATGCTCTTACTATGGTGGTTTTGTCATCTGTTGCACAGTGTGTATCTACAACTATTCATGTATTTATGTCATTCTTTGGTAAAGATTTTTCTACTGAATAAATTTTCTTGGGAACAATAAATTAAGATAATGGAAGTGCATATTTCACAAATAAAAAAGACTTCCAATTTCTTAAGGAAGGTGGTGATAAATGTATTATTTTCACAAAATATTTGTTAACATCAACTGTCCATCATGGGGTAATATCACGGGCCACAGACACAAATGTACTGAAGAAATGTCTGCTTACATATTAAAATAGTAGGCATTTTAGGGAGGCTGTAAGCAGCCACAAAAGACAAGTTTGCAAATCTTCCATGAAGCATGGCTTTATATTAAGATCAAATGATCACTGCAAATTTGTTTTCTTCATTTTTAAATTTTAAATTTTCTTGTGCAAACGCAAAACACTAAATAATAGTTGTCAGTATGTTTGTTCCTTTAGTAGAACAAGAACTTTTTAAACAGTTAAATAACAGTGTTACAGCAGTGTCATTGATGTCACAAATAGAAAAATCACTTCCATAATGGTGGAATTTTAATCTCTAATTTATGGAGTCACAGTAAGACTTTTAAATTATTTCTATCAAGGGAAAAATTTATAACATTATATCAAAGAAAAATCTATAAAAAAAGATTTAAATCATTCAGCACTGAATATATTTGTGGTGATAATACAAATACAAATTATGGCATAGTACTGCATTGAGGTTAAAACAACATTCTTACTAAATTAAGAAACCTATGGAGTAGTAACGTAGTTGGAATTGGCTGTGATCTGTGCATAATTTACTAAGGTGTCAAAATATGTGCTATTTTTTTGCACATTAAAAGACTATCAAAAGAGTGAAAAGGCCCAGAGAATGGGAGACAATATTTGCAAATCACATATCTGATAAGGGATTAGTGTCCAGATTACATAAAGAATTATTACAATTTAGCAACAAAAACCAAACAACCCAATTAAAAAATGGGCAAAAGTTTGGCAGGGGCAGGGGAGAGCAACAGGGGGAAGAAAGGGGGCAACTGTAACTGAACAACAATTTTTAAAAATGGGCAAAAGACTCGTATATATATTTCTCTAAAAAAGATATATAAAGGGCCAATAGGCACATGAAAAGATGTTCAACATGGATAGTAATTAGAGAAATGCAAATTAAAAATCATGAGATCCACTTCACACTCCCTAGGATGGCTATTATTAAGAAAGTAAAATGGAAAATAGCAAGTGTTGGTGAAGATGTGAGGTGATTGGAAGCCTCGTGCATTGCAGGTAGGAACGTAAAACGGTGTAGGCACTGTAGTCAAGTTTGGCCTACTTACAGCTGTAAACCTACTTTTGTCTAACCCTATATATCAGCCCATAAATTTCCTTTTACCTTAATTCAGTTTGGGGCATTGTTTCTTTCACTTCCAGTAGAAAGAACCTGCTTGCTAATCAGCATTGGATTCACACGGAATTGTCTTTTAGCTTCGACCATCGTAATGTTAATGTAGTCATAGATCTACAGGGATCTGAAGTGAGACTAGATGTTCTTTTTATCTGGGGGGTGGTGGTTAAAATAGCTCTTTAAAGACTGAAGAAAAAAAAAAGGATCATTTCCAAACGCGTCTCAGGCACAGGAGAGGAGGGGCTACAAGGAAACTACCACTGCCCACGGGGGGGGGGCTTCACTTGAAGAGCTGCTGCTGCCCTCCTGGTCTTCATTTACTGAGCAAATCTTCTCTTTCCTTAGAATTTTATAATTGAGACTGAAAAACAACTTGGGAGTGACTTACCAGCCTTTTCAGACACGGAAAAATTAACATGTGGAGAGGTGACATGACTTGCCTTTTCAGTATCCGCTTAATGGTAAAGTCAGGACCAACAAGTGAGCTGGAGCCCACCCACCTGCACCTGCCCCAGGGACCCAATCAGCCCCGTGGTCGGAGGGCGCCGCTTTGAAACCCGCCGGGTTGGGAGAATTTACACCGCAGCACCAGGGTTCCGCCCCTTCCCCTAGGTCCTAGAAGGCTGATAGTGCAGCACTTTCCAGCACACCCCTCCCAGCACCGTCGGTCCCACTTTCTGCCACGCCATTGTGAAGTAAAAGACATTTTAAGACTGTCTTTTTGTAATATAGTACAGTATCGTACTTTGTACAAACAAAACGAGCCTCACCGTTTACAGCATTATGTTACATGTTCCTCTTTACCACTTTAATTAGTGTCTAAAGGATAACATAAATATGTCAATCATCAAAAGTTTTTCTGAGGCACACTTTTATATTTTATGCTTCATTTCAACCTACTTTTTCTATACCTTGGGACATTTCCCAAGTTTCTGTGTAAAGTTATCGAGGACTCGGTAGATGGCGCTGCTACACTGTGGTTTTGGTCAGTTTTCAAAGTTGTTGCTTTCTGGGATACTCGTCAGAAATTTGCAATACTCCTAGTACAAGGGTTGAGAGGGAAATCCGAATCTGTTCATCTAGTTCTAGGCAGGTGCCAACTAAGATCTAAATCTCCTTTAAAAAAAATACTCTTAAGCTCCGTGCCTTGAGTAAAGAGAGATACTAGTCTAGGCATTTCCTTGGGCATCTGTATTTAAGACCTCTCATCCGAGATTCCGAACGTGTTCTGCTGTATCTTCTCTCTGGGTCTCAGGATTTGGACGGGTGGGTGAATCCCTCACAAATTCTTTACTATCTTTTTCTACACGTAAAACAACAAAGTCGTGTTACTCTGAAAATTGAATTTTCTCTACTGCCTCTCGATTTTTAAAATATCACGAACGCTCTAAAAAGTAGGATAAACTCTACGTGGTGAATGAATATGTGACAACCTGCCCACTGCCACCACCCCCAGGCAGGTAGGCACATTTTTTTTCCTTTTTTTTTTTATTGATTATGCTGTTACAGTTGTTCTATTCCCCCTTTCGTTCCCCTCCACCCTACCCCCCATCCCCACCATCACCCCCCCTTTACTTTATGACCATGTGTCTCAAGTCCTTTAGATTCTATATTTCCCATGCTATTCTTGCCCCCCCCATCTATTTTCCATCTACTGTCTATGCTACTTATTTTCTGTACCTTCTCCCCCCTTCTCCTCCTCCCACTCCCCTGTTGCTAACCCTCCTTGAGATCTTCATTTCTGTTTCCACTCCTGATCTAGCTGTCCTTTTAGTTTGCTTTCATTTTAGGTGTGGTTGTTAATAACTGTGAGTTTGTTGTCCTTTCACTGTTCATGTTTCTTTAACTTCTTTTTCTTAGATAAGTCCCTTTAACATTTCATATAATAAGGGCTTGGTGATGATGAACTCCTTGAATTTGATCTTATCTGAGAAGCACCTTATCTGTCCTTCCATTTTAAATGAAAGTTTTGCTGGATAGAGCAATCTTGGTTGTAGGTCTTTGGATTTCATGACTTGGAATACCTCTTTCCAGCCCCTTCTTGCCTGTAAGGTCTCTTTTGAGAAATCCACTGACAGTCTGATGGGGACTCCTTTGTAGGTGACTGTCCCCTTAGCTCTTGCTGCTTCTAGGATTCTCTCCTTCATTTTAATCTTGGCTAATGTAATTACGATGTGCCTTGGTGTGTTCCTTCTTGGGTCCAACTTCTTTGGGACTCTCTGAGCTTCCTGGATTTCCTGGAAGTCTATTTCCTTTGCCAGATTGGGGAAATTCTCCTTTATTATTTGTTCAAATAAGTTTTCCACTGGTGGCTGTGCCTTTCCCCCTTCTGGTACCCCTATCATTCGGATGTTGGAGCATTTAAAGATGTCCTGGAGGTTCCTAAGACTCTCCTCATTTCTTTGAATTCTTGCTTCTTGACTCTTTTCTGTTTGGCCATTATTTGCTTTCTTCTGGTCCACTCCATTGATTTGAGTCCCAGTTTCCTTTTCATTGCTATTGGTGTCCTGTGCAATTCCATTCATTTCAATTAGTTTCGCCTTCATATATTTGTCTAATTTGTGGCTATAATCAACCAGTTCTGTGAGGATCCTGATCACCAATGTTTTAAACAGTGCGTCTGTGAGTTTTGCTATTTCTTCATCGCTTAGATTTATTGGCTCTGGGGCTCTGAGATCCTCCTGCGCCATTCTTGGTCTGTTCGGGCCCTTTAAGTGTGAGAAGCGGCGCCTTGGATTCCCAGGTCGCTGGGTTGTGACGCTGTATGGGGGGGCGTGGCCAGAGCGGGGAAATGGCGACCCCCTCTGCCGCTTCTCACAGCTGGGTGCGGAGGAGCAGTGCCTTAGGTGGTTCACCTGGGCCGGGCCACTCAGAGTCGCTGGGTTATGACGCTGTATGTGGAGGTGGGGTCAGAGCAGGGAAATGGCGGCACCCTCCACTGCCGCTTGCCGTGGGGACCTGCCGGCCCGGTCCAACCGCCCACTCCCTCGCCTGTCCACCCTCGCACAAATGCGCGACCTCAGTCAACACGCAGCCCCAGGCCCGGCTGTCTCCCCCGAGGTCGCTCGCCTGGTTGCTCGCTGGGTCGCTCACTAGGTCTGACCCTGCGCCTGTATTCCGCGGGCCTGAGTGTGTCTGACTGAATCCTCCTGTGCAACCCTGCTCCGCCAGCCAGCCGCTGGTTTCGCCCCTTACCGGTCAGGCTGAAGAATTTGTTGTTAACGGACTTTCGAAAAGTTCAATTTTCCGTGTTCTGGCTATGTTTTCTGTTGCTAATATTTAGTTTTCTCTAATCGTGGTTGTGTGAGAAGGCACGGCACATCCACCTATGCCTCCATCTTGGCGGATCAGGTAGGCAAATTTTTGTTCAAATTTTCTTTTGTCTTATTATGAAATTTTCAGGGATACAAGAAAGGCCAGTTGATTTAACAAACGTGTGTGCACCTACTACTCAGATTAAGAAGGGAGAGATCACAGGTCTATTTGAACACCCCATGCACTGTTCCTATTTGCATTCACTGCCTCTCTTCCCTAATATTTAGAATTCAATTTTTCCATGCGTGTCTTTGTCATCAATCCTAGTGACTTTGTTCTTTTGTGCTTGCTTTTTTTTTTTCTCTGTTCAACATTATGTTTTGGAGAACTATCCATGTTGCTATGTAGTTTATTTATTGTTACATTTTCACATTGAATGAATTCTTTACATTTTGTTTAAACCAGTCTTCTTCCACGGATGCGTATTTGTGTCGCTCTCATTTTCCATTGTTGTTTGTGTGAGATATTCCTATAAACATATTTTTTTTCTTTTTAAAATTTTATTTAGTTATTTTTCAAGTACAGTTTTTTGTCTATTTTTCCCATCCCAGCCTCCCCCGCCCCTTGCTCCCCACCTCCCTCCCATTTCCACCCCCCCTTAGTTCTCGTCCCTGTGTCCTTCCTATTTGTTCCTCTAAATCCCTCCCCCTTTTTCCCCTTAACTTCCCTTCCTTCTCCCCTCTGGTCACTATCCCCTTGTTCTCTATTTCAGTGTCTTTGTTTTTTGGGTTTTTTTTTTTTCTGCTTGCTTGTTTGTTTTGTTGTTTAGCTTCCTGTTAAAGGTGAGATCATATGGTATTTCTCTTTCAGCATATGGCCTATTTCACTCAGCATAATGCTTTCCAGTTCCATCCATGTTGTTGCAAATGGTAGTAGCTCCTTCTTTCTCTCTGCAGCATAGAATTCCATTGTGTATATGTACCACAATTTTTGGATCCATTCATTTACTGATGGGCACCTAGGTTGCTTCCAACTCTTGGCTATTGTAAATTGTGCTGCTATGAACATTGTGGTGCATAGGTTCTTTGATATTGATGTTTTAGGATTCTTAGGATATAATCCCAGCAGTGGAATTGCTGGGTCAAAAGGCAGGTCGATTTTTATTTTTCTGAGAAAAATCCATACTGTTTTCCATAATGGTTGTACCAGTCTGCACTCCCACCAACAGTGAACTAAGGACCCCTTTTCCCCACAACCTCTCCAACATTTGTTGTTTGTTGCTTTGTTTATGATAGCCATCCTGACTGGTGTAAAGTGGTATCTCACTGTGGTTTTAATTTGCATTTCTCTGATAGCTAATGATATTGAGCATCTCTTCATGTGTCTGTGAATGTTCTGTATGTCCTCCTTGGAGAAGTGTTTGTTCAAGTCCTTTTCCCATTTTCTAATTGGGTTGGGTGTCTTCTTAGAGTGGAGTCGTGTAAGTTCTTTGTATATTTTAGAGATTAAACCTTTGTCTGAGGTATCATTGGCAAATATGTTTTCCCATACAGTTGGTTGTCTTGCTAATTTAATACTGTTTTCTTTAGCCATGCAGAAGCTTTTTATTTTGATGAGATCCCATTTGTTTATTCTTTCCTTTACATTCCTTACTCTAGGGGACATATCAGTAAAGTCCTATAAACATATATATTTTATGTGCCCGAGGTGATTCATAAGAACAACAAAATATAAAAGTGATATCTATAGTCATTGCAGCCAGTCTATCTTCCTATTTCCTCACTAAACATAGCTTGTGTTATTCTTTTCTTTTTTAAAAAATTTCATTTATTTAGAGGGGAAGGGAGGGAGAGAGGGAGACATTAATTTGTGGTTGTCTCTCGCGCGCCCCCTACTGGGGACGTGGCCCAAAACCCAGGCATGTACTCTAGACCTGGAATCGAAACACAGACCCTTCGATTCTCGGGTCGGTGCTCAATCCACTGAGCCACACTAGCCAGGGCTGTCGTTCCCTATAACTGTCAATAATTTTTAAATATTAGAAGACAATAGACTGGGAGTTTAAAACCCTTTTACAGTGTGATTCAGCCTCCCAGAACTTCAGTTTTCTAAATACCAAGGAATGGAACGGTGGAGCTGTGAGTGTGCTCATATTCTGCTTGACTTCACATCTCTGTATTTGGGAGCTTTGCAATCCACCTCCTCACCTGCCTCTTTTAACTATTTGCTATTAAAAATTTCAAACATATACAAAATAGAGAGAATAGAATAATGAACCTTTATGTTCTTATTATTTGGTTTTA